ATACTCTCGTAAGCATACATCACGCAAAGGAACATCACGCAATTGTGCGAGCCAGATTGTCCGAAATAAAGAATGTAATTTGCGTGAAGTTCCATTTGCTTGAGGAGTAGCAAACAAATATCATACATCCGGTGTGGCAAAGCCAAACCGCCTGTTGGCAGGGCTCAGTGATGTGATAGGTGCTCAATATATTCCCTTTTCCTCGTGAAAAATATATGTACATGTCATAGAAGATTCACATAATATACCTTGCATTTTTTATTGATTCAATGAGATAAACAATGCATCATGGCTGAGTGAGAGTGACCGGCGGGTCCCACCAGTTTTTGGAATATTGGCCAGATGGAGGGCCCAACCACGAGAGGGATTTATTATAACAAGAGCGATGGCCACCATCGTCCATAGGGGCAAGCTGTTGCACATAGGAAATTTTCAGTTTTATAAGCTTTCGAATAATAGCAGGTAGGCAGCTAAAAAAATGGAATAATACGTAGCAGGTAGGCAGGCAGCTGGCACGCACCTGCATGCATGGTGGACAGCACGACGGGCGTCAAATAATTGCACCCATTGCTCTATACCCCGATAATTCAACCCGGAGCCCGGGCTCACATGAGTCCGGTGAGCAGTAGCTCAATTTAAAATAGAAAGTTCAAAAAAATTCAATTTTTTTTGTGGTGCAAGATGTTTTTGTGCGTAAACTCCGTGCAAAATTTTATGAAGTTTGGACATTCGAGGAGCTCATAGCAAAGAAGACAAAATCAGGTGTGGACAGTGCGATTTTCAAAAGTTTCTCGGACATCCGAAAATTGTTTTTTTTTTGCCACGAGCCCCTCGAATGTCCAAACTTCACAAAATTTTGCACAGAGTTCACGTACAGAAACATCTTGCACCACAAAAGAAATTGAATTTTTTTAAACTTTCTTTCTATTTTAGATCGCGGTACTATTCATGCCCAGGCTCAGATCGGGCACCAAATCGCCGCTCTCTACCCTGATAATTCAACCCGGAATATCATTCCAAGATGAGAACATCGCCTCCGAACAGGGACGGAGCCAGGAATCTTAGTAAAGGAGGCCCAATAGAAGAGGTAAAATGTTGGAGGGTGCTGAACATCTAAATTTTGAGCATTTTGAGCTAATAATGAAGAGATGTTTATAGAAAAAATAAATTACCATGGAGAGGAAAAGAAACCACAAAAAAAGTTTACTCTCTTCACCTTTTTCATTTTTTTTTGAAGCGAGCATTCACCTTCTTCTTTCATTTGTGTATGTTTCTCGGCAACTCAGTCGGAGGTCGTCACAATAAGAAGAAATTGAAAAGAAGCAGCTTTGTGACGGACAAGACTGGGACTTTAATAAGATTACAAGCTTTAAAAAAAGCAAAACAAAAACAGAAAATTCAGATATTGTTTTAGGAAAAATGTTTTATGTTCATGTCGTTTTGTGTCTGTGTCAATGGAACTTTCACGCAATTGTGAGAGCCAGATTTATCTTTCTTCTTATCAACTCAGAAAGAATTACTCTCATATCACAGGTCTTAACTAGGACTAAGAGTTCAAGTTTCAGACCTGATATTAGTGCTCATATTTTTCTGCATTTATTTTAGGCCTTCCGGTGTTATGTGTTCAATGAGGGAAGATGTTTCCGTCAACTATAAATGCGTCGGTGGCGATTTTGTTAATTTCAAGATCTCAGAGGTTCTTATAAATATAACATGTATGTGCGTGAGTTCATAAGGATGAGGGTATTGCTGGTGTATGAGATGCAACTTTGGATTACTAGGGGAAAAAATGAACTAAAAGGACATGGCAATATCATAATCACGGAGACTATATCTAGTGGGAGACACGGTGGGACCCAACGAACAACATATTTTAACCTTTTTATAAAGCACCACAAGAAAATATCCACTTGCCAGGACGAAGAAAAAATATCCATTTTTCAAGAGGCCGCCAAGAGCAATCGGGCAACCACCTTCACCTTGGTTAATTAACAACGCCCCCGCTGACAGCTACTTAAGCCCTAATTAACAATCACAAACAACACCAAATCAAAGCTTCCCATACACAATATACATAGTGCGTGTAGCTATTAGGGTTCGAATTTGCATCTTCTTCTTTTTCTAGCTTAGCGAGTGGAGTGGCGCCTCTTCTCCGCCTATAAATGCCACCCCTGGGCGAAGCCTTGTGGAGAGAAATCTACCACCGCTCTCCCTCTTCCTCCCGGCCTGCACACGCACAAGCAGCGAGCCTTCCTCCTCCAGTCCTCATCTTTCTGCCATGAAGCCCCCTCACTTCACCGGGGAGGCCGCCGCCGGCGCCTCCTGGGCTCACGAGGTCAAGCAGGCCCTTCGTGACAAGCTCCGGTGGACACCCGCCGCGGGCACCACGGGCACCGGCGGCCACGGCGCCGCGAGGCCGCCGGCGGCCTCCTCGGCTGTGACCGCCGAGCCGGTGGCGCAGCCGGCCCACGGCGCCGACTGCCGGGGCTTGGCCGCCGCCGAGGACCCCATCAGGAGGGTCATGTTCTTGGCCCCCTGGGGCCACACATAAACGGAAAAAGCAAGTGCACGCGCGCACGGCCATGCCTTGGCCGGATCTGCAACTGCACCTCAACAAAAATATGGACTACTACGTACATATATATATGTGGCCGTATGGACCATGAACTGAACATGAACTCATCAAGGACCAATTAAAAACTGGGACTAGATCGGGAGAAGAAGAAGATGTGGTGCTTGAGTTATTTGTTCATTCATGTTTCTCTTGGGAGAGATGCATGCATGCATGCATGGGGAGATCTCGCCCTGACGGGTTCGTGCATAACGGCGTTGATGGGTTGTTGAAGCTGCGCAAGAGCTGCAGCTTTGTTGTAGCCATGAACCTGTTTTTCGTTTCTCTCCAGAAATTCTGTACCAAGAGCCTGTGAAAAGCTATGTGTGTATGAGACTATGAGCTAGTAAAAAGAACTGTTCCTCCTTTCCATGGCATGTCTCTTCGGTTGTTCCTTGCCCTGTTGGTTTCTTCTTTGCATCCAAAACCATGGTGTTAATTCCTGCAATATGCAGAGGAAGAACCAGCCATGGTTCTTAATTCTAGTATGTGCTGGTGTGGACTATGGGATGATCTTTCTTCCTTGTCTTGTCCTTTTGATCTGGAAAAGGTTGTTGGGAACCAGCCTGGATCCTGGAGTTCATCATGCTTTTCTTCAGGGTCCAGATCACAAGGGAGGGTACTCTTTGTCATATGCTTGTTGTGTGAGACCATGACATGAGCATCTTTTCCATGTCTCCTCGTCTGGAGAAGGTTGTTGAAACGTGCTCATCAAAGACTAATGATCTGAGAAGTTCATGGCCTTCTTTCTCTCTGATCATGGTATTTTAGAGGCAATAATTCACAAGTAAACAAATAAGAAAAAGGAAGGAGACTTTGAATTCGATTCCTGTAAGAAAACTAGTGGACTGAGAATCCTATTCCAGACAGGAAAGTGGAAAAAAAGCCTCCCACTTGCAAGGACAGGCCAAACCTGGGTGGGCCAATCGCCTCGATCGCTTTCCACGACACCGTATCTTATCTTCAGAAATCCACGGAGAAATTGGCACTGATATTTGCAACAACAAATTAAAAAAAAGAGAAACATATATAACCAAGGTGCATGATAGGCTTTGATTAAGACACCATATGTACATCGAGTTTGTTGTCTAGCTTGTGGCGACATCCCCCAGAAACTGGACTTGTAGGGGTCATGCTTTCCTTCCAGATGTCTCCTATGCTCCCTCACAAGGCAGAACCGGATCAGAGATCCTAGGTTGAGCACATATTTGTTACCCTCCTTCAACCCCTTCGTCGAAGGAGGGTAACGAAAAGGAAGAAAATCGACTGTGATTCGCTTCCGATGCTATGGGTTTTCACACACAAAGAAAGAACTCTGCTTTTATGGGTTTTGAGATGATACTAGCTAGTCAAACTTTTTACAGAGCAAGTTGAGTAAGTTTGAGAACATGTCACGGTCTCTTGATCATACAGTTGCCCACCAACTGCGCACTGAACTGGAAAAAGAGAGCAAAAAATCAAATGGCAGCGCAGCTACACTTATCTTGATTTCTTGACTGAAAACGATAGTTCAACTTCTACCCCTAGCTAGTTCCAAGAGCCCAAAATTTTAGTGTACCTTCTCTGTCGCCTATCCCCTTTCCTTTCTTTTTTCAGGACACTATCACTTATTCAGTCCCAAGTTAAGCTGAAATGATATGCTAGAAAACTTCTGAACAATGTTGCAACTTCTTAAAACAGCGGTAATGTTTATGGATCCTCTTGCGCGTACGTAGATTATCAGTCATCCTAGGAACCAGAGAACTATCCAGCTGTGTAGCCTGCAAACATCAAGCCACGCCTTCCTAGCACGAACACATTGCATCAAAATATGGTCAGTGGTGTCCTCCTCTTGGTCGCACAGGAAGCATGAACAAGGATGGATGTTCCTGCAGCCCTCTTCTCAGCCGACAATCAGAGGTCCATAGACGATAGTGAAGTGCAAGCCAAGTAATTTTTTTACAGTTTATAAGAGGCGCCCAAGATTTCCAAATAGCCTTGGCACAAGCAAATTTGAATATTTGATGGCCCCCTCGTTGAGCATCTGGTAAGCAAGCAGAGGCGAATGAATAGGCAAGTAGCAGTGCTGCTCCACTTCCAGAGCGCCACATCCTTCATCCTAGGAATCGCCTGAATCCCATAACTGAATGAAGTGCACCAAGCCCTTGGTAGGGAGCTCATTTGGCACATCCAGAAATGCGAATGTGCCGCCTCCCTAACCGGACTCCTGTACTAGCATTGACCTGAGCCGTGACGATTGGAGCAATATCGTCGGCGCATGTCCTATTGATCCGGCGATCATTTCAGAAGAGGACATTGTCGCCAGAACCCAACTTCCAATGAACCAAACTGCAGAAAAAGGCCTCCACCTTCAGATCCGAGGGCATGGGCAACCCACCCTTGCCAAGGTCTAGCAGCCAGATCTATGCGCTTCAGCCAAGCCCATTGCAGTTGGAATGCCAGACTCTGCAAGTTCAAGTCGATTACTCCCAAGCCACCAAGACACTTTGCCCTGCAGAATTTCTGCCGAGCCACCGGACATTTCCCACCATGAATATCGTCAGAACCAGCCCAGAAAAGCGCCCTGCAGCCCTCATCCACACGCTCAAGAACTCAAGGTCAAGAGGATGATCACTATCCAGGGGGTCCGTGTCCAAGAACTCAAGATCAAGAGGATGATCATTTTAGTAGCCAAAAACAAACAGGAACAGCCACGAAAAAATGCGCTCGAGATCATCGTCAGACTACAATCATATAATTCAACCAATACAAGGTCCGCACCACGCGCTGTTACCTGCTACTCCTATCAAACCTATGTTATAATGCAGGTCTGCTACAATGGCAGGGTCTGAGATTGCAACTCTACACGCAACCAGCACGAAATCGCGGTAGCCGATTCCAACATCAGCGGAGAGCGTGCTTCTCCTACAAACTGCAACAAAAGACATATTTGACATATTAACATCTATAAGGATAGATCAGAACCGTATACAAGAGAATTTTAATTGGTATTACTACAGAACTGCTGATCAAGTGAGTCTAAGGGGACCGACCGAGGCAAGACAGGCAGAACTTTTGCATGGTCCATCGGGTCTAAGACAACCTGCTCCTACGAATCAAGAAACACTATCCCGGCAGTTTTTACTTTCTACGCGCACATCCAATATGTCAATTGGTTAGTTTGGGCGTTTGGCCACCGATGAGAATTCTCAAAGTTCGTACATAAACTGCAGTTCCCCGTGTATTTTCACGGCTAGCATAAGTAAGCAACAAAATAAGGTTGCAGTTTCACTTGTCAAGCTCGAAATCTCAAACCAATAGGGAAATGGGAGAAACGACCAGTGTGTTTTGTCAGAACATCTAGCTCCAGTGCAGGACACACAGTCATGTTTGGCCATAACTCATAAGCAAGTGGGCTTGTGTTTTTTTTATTCGCGAACTGAGCTTGGCCAATTATGAAATCAATGCCTCAGCAAAAGATAAAGAAATATTTAATTCAAGTACACTTCAACCTAGGCAAACGATGGAAAGAAATTTAACCTATAGGAAACAATTAATGGTAAGAACAAAGTACCTGCTCCGATCAAACATTGTATTGGAAGCACACATCTTTATTACTCTTCATCATCAGAGTCATCGGAAGTTTGGTCGCTTTCATAGTCTGGGTTTGCTCTAAAAATGTAGACCTGCATCATTTACATAACTAATGAGGTTGCACGATATGCACTTGGCAGTGAGATAAAACAGCACGATATGCACTTGGCAGTGAGATAAAACAGCCTCCTGACGATTAGGCATTAAAAGAATCCCTTCCTGTTGAACTTGGAGGAGTAGCGTACCAGGAGCAGCTGCTGTTGTGTCTTTCTTGGTGTGTGGCGGCTCTCACGGAACAGAGGAGGAGGAGCTCCTCTTCTAGGTCAACATTTCTCATGGGCTTGGGCCTAAGAGATAGGTACAGATGGGCTAGGGCCCATACCGGTTCAACACTCCCCCTCAAGATGGGTGGTAGATATCTATCATTCCCATCTTGTCGCAAGCTAGGTTGCATTCCTTTGCTGCCAAACCTTTTGTCAAGCAGTCTGCTATCTGTTGGCCTGTGTGCACATACTCAATCTTTATAATCCCAGCATCAAGCTTCTCTTTGATGAAGAATCGATCAATCTCTACATGCTTAGTTCTGTCATGTTGCACTGGGTTGTTAGCTATGCATATAGCAGACCTGTTGTCACACCAGACATTCAAAGGTCCTTCTCTTAGCAATTTCAATTCACTTAGAAGGTTTCTCACCCACAACATCTCACTTAACCCCTGAGACATGGCTCTATATTCTGCTTCTGCTGTTGATTTTGATACAACTGGCTGCTTCTTGCTTCTCCATGAAACTAAGTTACCTCCCACAAACACACAATACCCAGATGTTGATCGACGATCATCCAGGCAACTTGCCCAGTCTGCATCACTATACCCATCAACTACCAAGTGGCCATTCCCTTCGAACCACAGTCCTCTTCCTGGTGTTCCCTTCAAATACTTCAGAATTCTGTGTGCTGCCTCCACATGTCCACTTCTGGGCTCATGCATATACCTACTCACTATGCTCACAGCATAGGCAATGTCCGGCCTTGTGTGACACAAGTATAGTAAACGCCCTACCAGTCTTTGGTATTTCTCCTTATCCACTAGATCTCCAGATTGTGCTGTTACCTTATGGTTTTGGTCAATTGGGGTAGTAGCAGCTCGACACTCTAACATTCCCATATCACTGAGGAGATCCAAGGTGTACTTGCGCTGGGACAAGGCTATCCCTTTGGCAGATCTTGCAATCTCAATACCCAGAAAATACTTCATCTGACCAAGATCCTTCACTTCAAATGCCTTTCCAAGACACTCCTTTAACCTTGCTATCTCCGTCCCATCATCTCCAGTTATGATTATATCATCTACATAGACTGCAAGGATGACAATCTTCCTATTCTGATGCCGGTAGAAGACAGTGTGATCCTTATTGCATTGTTTGTATCCCATCTCACACATAGCCCTTCGGAATCTATCGAACCAAGCTCTCGGTGATTGTTTCAGACCATACAAAGACTTTTTCAATCTACACACCTTGCCTTCAGTTTTAGATGAGTCCAATCCAGGGGGGACTTCCATATAGACTTCTTCTTTTAGTTCTCCATGCAAGAAAGCATTTTTCACATCTAACTGATGCAAAGGCCATCCAAAGTTTGCTGCACATGATACTAATATCCTCACAGTGTTCATTTTTGCTACTGGAGCAAATGTTTCGTCATAGTCTATCCCATAGGTTTGACTATATCCTCTTGCAACTAGTCTGGCTTTGTATCTCTCAATCTTGCCTTCAGGATTCTGTTTGACAGAATAAACCCATTTGCAGCCCACTGTTTTCTTTCCTGCTGGCAACTCAGCTAACTCCCAAGTCCTCTGTTTTCTCAATGCTTCTAGTTCTTCTCGCATAGCAGCACACCACTTAGGGTCCTTCTTTGCATTTCTCCAATCTGAAGGAATAACCATCGCTTGAAGAGAAGCAATGAACACTTTATATGATGCCGACAGAGCATCATAATTCACATAATTCCCAATATTATGCTCAAACCCATATCTCTCGACAGGTTTGGCAGCCGCAGCCCTAGTTCCCTTCCTCAACGCAATTGGCATCTCCGTGGATGAGTCCTCCTGTTCTATGTGTGACTCCCCCTGCATCACATTCTCATTTCCTGCTTGCTCCCCCTGGGGTTCATTTGCCTTGGCTCGCCGGGTGTAGACTTTAAGTGGCTTCTGTGCTATGCCCTGCTGCTGCTCAGGTTGCTCTTGAACCTGATGCGTTTCTGTTTCACCTTCTCCACTAGACAACGGCAACACGGGTATAGTGCCCACCATTGGCGGTCTTGCTTGCTGCATCACCTCTTCCTGACATCTTCCTTGTTCTCTCCCTCTTGCTTCAGATACTTGAGGTTGCAACACCACCTCCCCCTCTGGACCAACCACAGGCTGGTCCAGACATTCAAACAACAAGCTCAAGTCAGTTTTTTCCCCATAGTAAGGATTAGATTCCCAGAATGTCACATCCATGCTCACGAAAGTGCGCCTATCAGAAGGACTCCAGCACTTATACCCTCTCTGTCCAGAAGGATAGCCAATAAAGATACACTTCACCGCCCGAGGATCCAGCTTGTTCACAGCAGGTCTATGATCCCTGACAAAACAAGTACATCCAAACACCTTTGGTGGCACACTAAATTTATTCTCTCCTAATAAGAGTTCACAAGGAGATTTCATACCCAGTATCATGGATGGTGTGCGATTGATCAGATAGGTTGCAGTCAGAACGGCTTCACCCCATAGACACTTTGGCACATTCATAGTGTACATGATTGAGCGCGCCACCTCAAGGATATGCCGATTTTTCCGCTCTGCCACGCCATTTTGGGGAGGAGTGTCCGGGCAAGATGTCTGATGCAGAATACCTTGGTCTGATAGGAACTCTCCCAGCCTTCTGTTGACATATTCTGTCCCATTGTCAGTCCTTATCATTTGAACCTGCACCTTGAATTGAGTTTTAACATACGCACAGAAGTCCTTGAAACACTCAAACACCTCATCTTTATGTCGCATTAGATACATCCATGTCATGCGAGTATTGCAATCAATGAAGGTGACAAAATATTTCATTCCATTTATCGAGGTTGATGGACATGTCCAAACATCTGAATGAACAAGCACAAATGGGACTATACTCCTGAGCCCCTTACTCACATACGATATCCGAGTGTGTTTAGCATACTCACATGCCTCACACCTTAACTTGGTTTTATCTAAACCATTCATTACATCAGGGAAAGCTTTCTTCATTTTCTCAAAAGAAACATGTCCAAACCTACAATGGTGGATCATAGCTAATGCTTCCTTCTCTGTCGCAGTCGCAGCAAGAGCCATGCCAGCAGTCTTCACATCCTCCTGGCGATCCATGTACCATAGTCCTCTATGCCTGGTTCCTGCCCCAAGCCTCCTCCCAGTTCCCATCTCCTGAATCAAACAGCGGTACTTATTAAGAGTTACGTCACAATCTATCTGATCAATCAAAGCACTCAATGACACTAGAGTAACTGGGAAAGCTGGAACATGCAAAACTGATTCCAACTTAATACTTGGAGTACATTGCACTGCCCCAACCCCCTTAATAGGTTGTGCAGTACCATCTGCAGTTTGAATAGTTCCATTGTACGATTGGGGGTACTGTTGATAGCATTCAAACTCTCTAACGTTGCCGGTTACATGTTTCGATGCCCCTGAGTCTAAAACCCAATCTACACCAGCCCTATGAACAGCAACAGATGCAGTTTCATTACCTTCATCAGAGTACACAAAATGAGCAAAGTCACCAAACACTGTCTCTGCTTGCTGTTCGTTCCTCTTGTCTTGACCCTGCTGCTCATTTCTCATGTCTTGACTATGAGAAGAACTGGACTGACCCTCACTCATGACAGATACATTCGCTCTGGCCTCCCCTTGGTAGCGATTGTAGTAGTTATAGTTACTTGGAGCACTTCTGCCCCTGTTGTTGCTTCCACGATATTATTCCCTGCCATCTCCTCTATAGCTGCCTCTGTAACCTCCTCTGCCTTTGTTGTCTCTCTTCGGTGGGGCTGTGCACTGGTAACTGAGATGCCCTTTCAGCCCACAATTGTGGCAGTCTCTTGTCTCAGGCCTATTCATTATGTGATAAGCAGGTCTGGAAGCCACCTTTGACCGCTCCACAGCTTTCAATCTAGTCTCCTCCTGTGCTATAGCAGCAATGGCATCTCTTAGTGACGGCAACTCAGCTTGTTGCATTAAGATAGCCCTTCTATTCTCAAACATGGAGTCCAGCCCCTTCAAAAACTTGAGGACACGCCTATCCTCAACCCACTTTCTAGCTATCACTGCACACTCAGCATGTGGCAACACAATAGGTGCAAGATAGTCTAAATCAGCCCAAAGATGTTTCAGCTCTTCAACATACATCATTACAGTCCTATCACCTTGAGTGAGATCATGCACAGTTTCTTCAATTTTGGAGACCAACATGACATTTCCCTTCCCTGAGTACATACTAGCTAACGCTGCCCATACCTCAGCAGCAGTAGGGAGGTCCTCCACCGAAGCAGCAACAGAAGGGGATAGAGAACTCAGCAGCCAATTCAACACGAAACTGTCCGTGGCATTCCATTTCTTCCATGAAGCTCCCCTCTTGTCTTCTGGTTCCTTCACCTCACCAAGAGCATAGTCTTCCAGTGACTTAGTTCTGAGGATGAGTTTACCTCTCCTCAACCACCTCAGGTAGTTTTCTACACCTTCTAACTTCACCTCGTTTGGAGCCAGCTCAATCTTCTGCACCATCTCTGCCTGCGCAGCGCTCGAGCCCACATCAGCAGGTGCCTTCTCACCTGCAGCCACCATCTTCGCGGCCATGATGTCCGCAAGCTTGTCCATTGCAGCCGCCAGTGCTTCCTCCGCCATTTTCCCTTTCAGTCAGCAGCAGACAAAAAACAGCGGGACTTTCAGCACCTGCAAGCAGCAGTAGCACTCCTCTTCTCCTCTTCTCAACCAGCAGCAGTTCGTCACCTCTCCTTCCTTTACCAACCCGCAGCAATCAACAGCCAAGAGCAGAAGGGGACTTGGAGACAAACTGCAGCTTCTCGCAGTGGACCTGACAGCGTTGCTGCCGTGTCAGGTGAGATGCGTGACCTGCCCTTCCTTTTCTCTCTTCCCCTCAATCTCTCTCTCGCTGCCTCACGCAGCAGCAGCAGCACCTCCAGCACGCAGCAGCTCCAGCAGCACGTGCGCACAGCAACCTCCTCTCCCGAGCCGGCCGCGCCGCCTCGCTGCACTCCGCCACCAGCCGCAGCCGCTGCGCCTAGCTCGCCGCCGTTCGCCCCCGGCAGGTCCTCCTCGCCGGACTACACCACCGGCGCCGCCGCTGCCGCTGCAGCCTGGTCTGATACCATGTTGAACTTGGAGGAGTAGCGTGCCAGGAGCAGCTGCTGTTGTGTCTTTCTTGGTGTGTGGCGGCTCTCACGGAACAGAGGAGGAGGAGCTCCTCTTCTAGGTCAACATTTCTCATGGGCTTGGGCCTAAGAGATAGGTACAGATGGGCTAGGGCCCATACCGGTTCAACACTTCCACTATCTAAAAAGATATGACTCTGGACAATTGAAGGCCTATGAATGAAATAAAATTCCTAGAGGCCCTTTCAGATCTGGTTGGAATGAAGGTATATACTGTAGGGATGCTGAGCAATAACATTGTTGCCTGCAAACTCTGTGTAGAATTAATTGGCAGTCCAAACAAGCCTAATTTCTCGTATATGAATAAGAAGACACAGCTCGCTAGTTTCAAACTTTCAATTATGGATATGGCATATAACCCACTTTATAATTTAAGCTAAGACATACCAATGACTCTAGTATGTAGTCTAGTTATTCAGTAGACATACCAGGTTTTTCTCATGTATATAAACTTGAAACCAATGTTTCAACAGACAAACGCATTATTGAGTATGACACCACCAAGCAACTTTCAGGAATGTTTTAGAATCATAAGGCCACATTTGGAACACAGCGGTTCCGCAAAATTTTTGCTAGAAAACAAGTTATAAACGCACTCGTACTGAATGTGGAGTTCCTTAAAGTAAAAAGTCGGGCGTTTTTATCCGTGGTATGGAGGAGATGCTGAATCTCACCTTGAACTTTACCCTCTCCGTCATGTGGAAAACCAAGCAATCGCCATCGGCAAGGTCATGGTCGGCAGCAAACCGTCTCCACCCCTTGTCGAGGTAGTAGTGACAGTGTTTGCCCTTTCTGTGGGCATTGTACATCATGTGGAACTCGTCATCCGCCTCGTCCACCAAGACGGCTGCCTCATCGTGCGCCGGGAGATACTCGATGAAGTGCTTGGGGATTTGCTGTCATGATGCATATAACCCACCAAATCAACATCCAATCCGATCCAAGAACCACATTGCCTCACATCACATCCAGTGCAAGTTTCCTTGCTACAGTACTTTACCATCAGGATTGATCTGGTGGCGCATTCGTGGGACATGGGCCTGACGAAGGCGGGGCAGCGGATGCGGTGGATCCGGCGCTTGAGCTCCTCGGCCTTGGCGACGGCGCCGGCCCTCTCCTCGGCGGTCGGCGTTTTCGAAGCGGCATACGCCTCGTACACTCCACGGTAGTCGCGCTGAAGTGCGCCCTCGAGGTAGTTGGGCTGCTCCGGGAGGCCGGCGACGCGGCCGGACCGCCGGAGATCGCCGGGCTCCGGGGCCTTGCGCTTCTGCGACACCGGACGAGCGGACCAGTGATATATACGGGCACGGGCGAAAAGGAAACGGAAGACCGACCCGAGGCAAGGAAGAAGAAGGGAGAGGATCTGACGGACCGGCCTGGGCTTGGGGTTGGGCTTGGGCCTGGCGGCGGCCTCGCGGACGGCGGCGGAGAGGTGGTGCAGGCGGAGCTCCTCCAGCTTCCGGCGGTTCTCCTCAATCTGCCTCCGGCGCTGCTCCTCGTACGAGTTCGATTCCGCCATTTCCCCTTCTCGATTCTTCTTCTTCTTCTTCTTGGGTGTTTTCCAGCCGCCGTATTGTCTGCTCTTGCTCTGTTTGGGAGGAGAAGTGGACTGAGGAGGGAGAGAATGGGGAAAAGTGACGTGGCCCTAGACTCGTCTCTTCTTGACTTCTTGTTGACCGTGCGACCACACCTTTGCTTTTTACCCCTCCAAATTACTACTCTCTCCTATAGCTGGCCAAACGGGCCGGCCCGGCCCGGCATGGCACGGCCCATCTTAATCGTGCCTGGCACGGCCCGGCCCGCCATGGCACGATTATTAGTCGGGCCGTGCCATGCCGGCCCGCGTTCTGCCCCCTCCGGCCCAAGCACGGCCCAGGAGCCAAACGGGCCGGCTCGATGGCACGCCAGGCACGCTGGCCCACTAGCCTGATGGCCTGCTAGGTAGTTTCTTGGGCTGATTTTGGCCCGCTGGGCTGTTTTTTATGTGTTATATATATAAAAAAATCTGGATAAAAAAAAGATAAATGGGCCGTGTCGTGCCGGCCCGTGTGCCCAGCCTTCAGGCCCAGGCATGGCCCAAGGCAGGCCGCGTGCCTGGCACGGCCCGATTAGAGCGTGTCGGGCCTGGCCCATCACGTGCTTGCGGGTCGGCATGCCAGGCCCGGCCCATTTGGCCAGCTATACTCTCTCCATTCTAAAATACAAGGCATCGATTGACTTTTCTGATCTTCGTCACACAATTTTGACTATGACTTTATGTATTATATATCTACAAAATTAGTATATAAACATATGAAATAAAATTGTTTTAAAAGACAAATACGATAATGCCATTTATACATGTTTAGTCCACGACGATACTTGGTTCACAACCGTTGGACGATACTTTATCCTGTGGATGTGTTCCACTTCTTCATACACATGCGCGGTTGGATCGACTGGATCGTGCAACAATCGGTTGCACAGTGACGTGTGTGTAGCGGCGCTCCATAAAAAATGATGGAGTACCCACCTTCCCAATGAAGCCTTCATTTAGCGGGTTGCGCACATCCAATCTGCGCACTGGATGTGTTTTTTAAGACGTCCATGGTGGCTGGACTGTGGGCACGCACGGGCCACATTTCTGCAATGTTTTGCCCAACCATGCATATGTGTGTCGGGCGGCTTGATGTGTTTGTTGGGGAACGTAGTAATTTCAAAAAATTTCCTACGCATACGCAAGATCATGGTGATGCATAGTAACGAGAGGAGAGAGTGTGATCTACGTACCCTTGTAGATCGACAACGGAAGCGTTTGCTTGATGTAGTCGTACGTCTCCACGGCCCGACTGATCAAGCACCGAAACTATGGCACCTCCGAGTTCTAGCACACGTTCAGCTTGATGACGATCCCCGGACTCCGATCCAACAAAGTGTCGGGGAAGAGTTCCGTCAACACGACGGCGTGGTGACTATCTTGATGTACTACTGTCGCAGGGCTTCGCCTAAGCACCGCTACAATATTATCGAGGACTATGGTGGCAGGGGGCGCCGCACACGGCTAAGAATATGATCACGTGGATCAACTTGTGTTCCTCTGGGGTGCCCCTGCCTCCGTATATAAAGGCTCAAGGGGGGGTGTGGCCGGCCCAGGAGAGGCGCGTCAGGAGGAGTCCTACTCCCTCCGGGAGTAGGAGGGAGTAGGACTCCCCCCCAATCTTAGTTGGAATAGGATTCGCGAGGTGGAAAAGAGAGAGAGAGAGAGAGAGAGAGAGAGAAGGAGGGGGGCGCCGGCCCCCTCTCTCATTGTCCTATTCGGACTAGGGGGGAGGGGCGCGCGGCCCAGCCCTGGCTGCCTCTCCTCTTCTTCCACTAAGGCCCACTAAGGCCCATATAGCTCCCGGGGGGTTCCGGTAACCTCCCGGTACTCCGGTAAAATCCCGATTTCACCCGGAACACTTCCGATATCCAAACATAGGCTTCCAATATATCAATCTTTATGTCTCGACCATTTCGAGACTCCTCGTCAAGTCCGTGATCACATCCGGGACTCCAAACAACCTTCGGTACATCAAAATGTATAAACTCATAATATAACTATCATCGAAACCTTAAGCGTGCGGACCCTACGGGTTCGAGAACAATGTAGACATGACCGAGACATGTCTCCGGGCAGTAACCAATAGCGGGATCTGGATGCCCATATTGGCTCCTACATATTCTACGAAGATCTTTATCGGTCAGACCGCATAACAACATATGTTGTTCCCTTTGTCATCGGTATGTTACTTGCCCGAGATTCGATCGTCGGTATCCAATACCTAGTTCGATCTCGTTACCGACAAGTCTCTTTACTCGTTCTGTAATACATCATCCCGCAACTAACTCATTAGTTGCAATGCTTGCAAGGCTTAAGTGATGTGCATTACCGAGAGGGCCCAGAGATACCTCTCCGACATTCGGAGTGACAAATCCTAATCTCGAAATACGCCAACCCAACATGTACCTTTGGAGACACCTGTAGAGCTCCTTTATAATCACCCAGTTACGTTGTGACGTTTGGTAGCACACAAAGTGTTCCTCCGGCACACGGGAGTTACATAATCTCATAGTCATAGGAACATGTATAAGTCATGAAGAAAGCAATAGCAACATACTAAACGATCGGGTGCTAAGCTAATGGAATGGGTCATGTCAATTAGATCATTCAACCAATGATGTGATCCCGTTAATCAAATAACAACTCTTTGTCCATGGTTAGGAAACATAACCATCTTTGATTAACGAGCTAGTCAAGTAGAGGCATACTAGTGACACTCTGTTTGTCTATGTATTCACACATGTATTATGTTTCCGGTTAATACAATTCTAGCATGAATAATAAACGTTTATCATGATATAAGGAAATAAATAATAACTTTATTATTGCCTCTAGGGCATATTTCCTTCAGTGTTGGCCTCACGCGTTCGAAAGGCACCTGTCAGGACTCTCTGCCCATCCGGGCATGAGGAGCTAGCAGGGCGTTCATAACCCACAAGTTTATAGAAACTATCATAATCTTTTCGATAAGGGACAACTCTTTTGGCCGATTCTCACATAATCTTGAGAATCAGACCTTTCCATATATTTTTCAGAATCTTGAACTAGCTAGGTTTGTCAAAAAAAAGGTGGGCACAAGATTCTAGGAGAATCCGGGGAGGTCCAAGTCTCAAGATTCTAAGAGAACGGGCCAAAAAAAATTGGGCCTAAAGTAAGAGTGTCGAACTCAATAAGAAGTAAAAAGAATTGGTTGATGAAAACTAATAAAAATCACTTTAAAAATTGCAAAAGATTATTGATGGTTTGTTTGATCACAAGACAAATTGCAAAAACATTAATAGTAACAAAAATATAATGGTGCAACAACTGTTAAATCATTAATTATGCTAAGGACAAGCCCGTGGTTATACTTATAGGGATCAAATCACTCTTGTGAACAGATGGGAGTTTTACCAAATTACTTTCAGCAAGTTGCATTGACTTACCGTTCATTGCTTTGATAGTTTACGGTGGAACCTATTATAATATGATGTTCTTACTTGAACAAACAACATACTTACGATTATCTCTCTATACAAAGATTCAAAAAAATAAGAGAATAATTAAGATAACATTTAACCATAACAATAAACTTTGGGATTCCAATAGCCCCTCGTGCAACAGTTCATAAACTTAGGGTTCGTAATCTCTGTCACTCCAACAATCCACCATGAACAAAATAATCATACAATGCTCTCCTCTAGGCTCATGAAGGTAAAGTGATATGGAGTCGACATTCGCACATCACCACCAGTGAAATACATTACAACGTAATATCAAAACATGGAACTAGATTCATTTTCACAATATTAATAGCGATGAGGTTTATCCCATGTCCTTAAGAACGTAACGAGCTACTCACAACACATCATATAGATCATGATCAACGGAGAACAATCTGAACATATGAATCTTTCACAAATAAAACTTCTAAGCATCAACTACAAGGAGTAATCAACACCGGAAACTATACTCAACAGAGAATGTGAGGTAATAGTTCATTGATCGGAAAGCTAGGGTTGAGGGAGTTGATGGAGATGACGGTGCTCATGAAGATGTTGATGGAGATGATGATCGGTGTGTTGGTGATGACGATGTCTTAGAATTCCGCTCCCAGAGGGATGGATCTCCGACGGAATCGATTTGCTAGAGGGCAAAAGTCTTCCGCCTCGGTTCCACCTTGATATGGCAGCAGAAAAATCCCATAAAACCCCTAGTGTTTTTAGGTCGGGAGAAAAATATAGACCAAAGGGTTGTTGGGGAACGTAGTAATTTCAAAAAAAATCCTACGCACACGCAAGATCATGGTGATGCATAGCAACGAGAGGGGAGAGTGTGATCTACGTACCCTTATAGATCGACAACGGAAGCGTTTGGTTGATGTAGTCGTACGTCTCCACGGCCCGACCGATCAAGCACCGAAACTACGGCACCTCCGAGTTCTAGCACACGTTCAGCTCGATGACGATCCCCAGACTCCGATCCAGCAAAGTGTCGGGGAAGAGTTCCGTCAGGACGACGGCGTGGTGACGATCTTGATGTACTACTGTCGCAGGGCTTCGCCTAAGCACCGCTACAATTATCGAGGACTATGGTGGAAGGGGGCGCCGCACACGGCTAAGAATATGATCACGTGGATCAACTTGTGTGTCTCTGGGGTGCCCTACCTCCGTATATAAAGGCTCAAAGGGGGGGGTGCGGCCGGCCAGGAGAGGCGCGCCAGGAGGAGTCCTACTCCCTCTGGGAGTAGGACCCCCCCCCCCTTTCCTAGTTGGAATAGGATTCGCGGAGGGGGGAGAAGAGGAAGGGGGGCCGGCCCCCTCTCCTTGTCCTATTCGGTCCAAGGGAGGTGAGGGGTGCGCGGCCCATCTTTGGCTACCTCTCCTCTCTTCCACTAAGGCCCACTAAGGCCCATATAGCTCCCGGGGGGTTCCGGTAACCTCCCGGTACTCCGGTAAAAT